ATTTGGGGTGAGGGTTCCACGGATCACATACTCCCCTGACCCCACCCACACAGAGCATATGGAGAGAGACTTTTATTCCCCTTTCCCCTGTAACAGGGAGCCTAACTGGTACACCAGTGTCCTCGGGCTCTGATGTCACTTCAGCCTCTTTCCTCCTGCCGCCAGCTCACGGCTCCATCCGACTGTCTCATACAGCGTTTTACCCACTCTTTCAACTTCTGCCTCCCTAAACCTATTTCTTCTGGATTCATCCCCATCACCAGATATTGTGCCACTTCAAACTCAACCCCCACCGTTTTATTTTCTCAGTCTCAACATCTAGACTCTCAGGAAGCCTTGGCCACAGTGCTTCCACAGCACCCTCCTCATCGTTCCCTGTTTCTCCATCACCGTGGTCACCATGGTCACCAACATCATGTCTTCCCTCTTCTACTCCTGATTCCACTTCGTGTTCTTGAAGCCCCTTCTCTTCATGACAAAGTGATATCTTAAAGTTCATCAGATCATGTCACCTCCCTGCTTTAAGTTCTCTGAAGCTATTAAACTTCACTGGGTCCAACTTGTATTTTCTATTACTAGTCACCCTAAATATCTAGATGTCTGTAAGACCTGAATCAAAGCTTAGGTTGGCCCATGGGGCAATTAAATCCTCTCATTTGTATTTTTTTTTTACATGCCCCAAGTTGTCATCACAGGAAAGTGGGAATTTTGCTGTATAATGATAATTTATGATAACTAAGTGCTTCCATGGTGCCAAGTCCTTTGGCAAGTGTCTCATTAGTTGTCACCCTCTATTAATCATGTTTTGAGTTATTTTTTTTAATTCTGTATTTTATGATGCTTTGACATCTTGGAGGCTTTCTAATTCTGGACTCTTCAGGGCTAGCTGTTTCAGAGATAGCAAATGACTAGCCTTCAACCTACCATTCATATGCAAACCAACCCATTAAGAGCCCACAACCCTAAGCACCTTCTCTACCCAACTGTCACCAAGCCAGTGCTTCCCCTGCCCTGAGTCACCCCAGGGCCAGGTACTGGACAACTGGAGGATACGGGGAGAGTCTGAGGCTGTCACAATTACTCAACGATCCAACCCTGTATTCGATCAAGCTCACCTACCCTGCCTTGTCCATTCCATCACCTGGAAACCACCATAAAACCTCTGGACCTGACCTTCTCCTTGTTCCTTCTGCTTCCTGGTGCTTCCCCAAGTGACCCTGCGTGGCGTGGCATGCCTCCTCCTCTGGGGAACACCAAGGGATACACTCCCTTCTTTCAAGGCAGTGTTTTCCATGTCTGCTATCGTAACTGACCTATCTTCCAACCTAATCTTGGGAATATTTCACAATACCCCCAAATCCTATGAAACAGGTGAGACAGGCATACCAGTCACACAGCAGAAGGGTCGAGGAATCAGTGTCTGAATGGATGGTCCAGCTGCAGAACCAATAGGCCGAGTTCTCTAATCCATCTTCATTTTATGTGTCTTTATGTATGTCATCATATATCCAAGCAAGGCATAGCTGCTTGGGTCTCCCTACCACAGTGTCAAGTCAAGCATTTATAGAAATCTGCTGATATAAACTATAAAGGAGCTCACCACCTTTTCCCTTTCCCATCTCAGTCTGGGTTGGCCTTCTAATATCTCAAAGGATATACTGGTCACTAGCAATGCCTTACAGATGAATGAATTGCCCCCACTAAACTGTAGACAGGCGTAGATTCACACAAAAATCAACCCCCTGCCATTATTTCTCTGATTCACTGGCTTTTAAGTTCAATCCACTTATTCACCCACAAATACTGGACTAGCTAGAAAGCCGACTCACGGAAGAGAAAGATGACGACCCCATTCTCTAGGACTCCAGATAGCTAGAGCTGGGGGCAGTCAGCCCTGCAAAAAATAAAAAAAGTTGACCACTTCCCCAAGGGCAGGATTTTCATGTGGTATGAATATATACTGTCTCGCTTCATCTTATCTCTGCCTCTCTTCTTGCCCCACCTGTTCTCCTCATACCTGGAATCTCATGTTCTTTTCTGCTTTCTTTTCTCCTCCAACAACTCCTTTCATCTCAAGCAGTCCTGCACGGGCTGATCCAGCCTTTGGGAACAGCCCAGCTGCACCTCCCGAGAAGCACTAGAACCGGCAGGGGTGTGAGTCGGCCGTGTCATCCGTGTGCCCGGCAGCCAAGTGGACGGCTCTGCGTGGCTTGAGTGGCAGCCTGACCCATCCCCACGGCTCACACCCTCGGTGTTCAAGAGACAAACTCTGTCACTGAAGAAAATTGTAAGCCCAGCCCCAATTCTCCCCTTTGCACGATTGAAGTCATGGACAAGAACATCTCCGAGTTTAGAGGGTTATTTGCAATGTGTATACAGAAAACCCAGCTACACTCAGGTCTTAAGGAAAGATGCGTGTCATTAAAACTGGTGGATGATCCCGGAATAAGTTGTTAGGCTGCTCTCTGAGGCCTTGCCTCACTTCCTAGCATATATTACCCCTCCTGGCAGGGAGTTCACTGGGAAGCACACTGCTCATCTGCATTGTTAATGCCTGCTTTCTGGGAAGGAACTCCAGGTACTTTCACTCTACTAAAACATACACATGTGGCATAACTAGAGACAAGTATTCTTTCTTCCTGAGGTCCCACGCTCTAATTAAAAACTTTAGACCTGGGATATGTGTAGTTACCTTTTTACAGGGGGTGTAGGATGGACAGCATTTATTTATATTGTCTATTTATCATAGTATAGTATATAGTTGTTTAGTCGCTAAGTCGTGTCCGACTCTTCAGGACCCCATGGACTGTAGCCCATCAGGCTTCTCTGTCCATGAGATTCTCTAGGCAAGAATACTGGAGTGGGTAGCCATTCCCTTTTCCAAGGGATCTTCCTGACCCAGGGATCGAACCCATGTCTCTTGCATTGGCAGGTGGATTCTTTACCACTGAGCCACCAGGGAAGCCCACGGTATATTGTATTATAGTATCTGTGTCCAGTCCTTTATAACTGAGAGCAGGTAGCATGCTTTTGTGCCCTTCAGCAATGAACACAATCCATGGCAAGAGTTTACAGCTTATTTCTGAATTACATTTCATTGGAACAGTTGTTCAGAGCCCAGGCTAATATTGCAAAAGGATTTGAGTACCAATACAGTAAAGCAAAATGCACCTAGCAACTGTTCAATTATGATTATGATACAGGGGCAGGAGCCACACAATAAGGTGTGGCTTTTGCCAGGGGAGCAGAAAGAAATCCTCTCAACAGGCCCAAGGAAAGCCTTCAGTTCTTGACCAGAAGACATGCGTTGGCACTCCAAACTGACAGACTGGGTTCTAAGAATGCCCTAACCACCAGTTCCTCTCCAGATGCATGACGGCGCCACTTCATGTTGTGAGCATAAAGCAACAGACGGATTTTGTAAAAGTCAGTCAATACTTTTTAGGATCTCTCTGTGTTTTTCTCAGCTCTTGTATGCTTACAATGAGATCCTTGGGTAGTAATGTGGAGTAGGATGGAGGCGATTTTGCACGTGATGCGGTAGAGAGACATTCAGATTTGCCATTTGGAGAGAGAGAGAGAGCAAGTCTAGGGCCAGGAGTATTTCCAAGATGGGTCACCGGAAAAGAAAGCGCTCCGCCATCTCGCCAGAGCCCAGGAAAGCTGTCTGGGATGGGACTGTAGCTCGGCCACGTGGAGTGGGGACGGCAGAGCTGCGGACGCCTCGCACCGCGCGCATTGAGTCGGCGTTCTGGCGCGGGAAACCTAGTTGAGCTCTTCAGGGCGGGGTTTGGCAACTTCTGCCTTGGCATCCGGCATCCGGGGAGGGAAGGTGCGAGTCAGTTTCCAATTTGCTGCGGTCCCCGAGCTCCCTCTCCCGCCCTTCCCTCCCGCCAGCACGTAGGGAAGCCGCCGAAAGGGGCGCAGCGTTCCCGGGCAGCCGCGGTGTCGCGGGAGAGAGGAGCCAGGGAGGTGGCCGCCCGGCCCGCGCGGCTCCTGGCGCGAGTGGGCGGCGCGGCGGGGGTTAAGGTGGGAGCCCGCGCCCAGCGCCCGCCGGGATGCGCGCGGTCAGCCCGCTTGCTCGGCGCGGGCACCGCGGAGAGCGGCGGTCAGTGATGGAGCTGCTGCCATGACAACCCCGGCGGTCTGGGCCCGCGCGCGTCGGGTCTGCTCCCGGGAGGCCGGCAGCGCGGAGGCCGGGGGCGGCCGCTGAGCGTGGCGTCCGCGCGTCCCCGCGCCCCGCGCCGCGTCCCCGGAGAGGCGGGCGCGCCGTCCGCCCGCTCCCCGTGCGCCCCGAGCCTGCGCCGCGGGCGCTCCGCGGGCCGGGCCGGCCGCCAGTCGCCGCCCGGGCTGCGGCGAGGACGCCAGGCACCCACCGCTCCGGAGGATCGTCGGACTTGGCCGCGGCTGCGGGGTCCCCGCGGTGGAACTTTTTACCGCCTTGGCGTTCCAGATCGGAGACTCGGGCTGGTTTCTAAATACATCTGTACATATGTGTGATCTAATAAAACATTCTCTCCTCTCCTTGAAGCGGCAGCTTTTTATGACATCTCCTTTATGTCAGAGACACTTGCCTGGCTTCTTTGGGTTATAAACTTTTGATGCCAGACCTCGGCAGGACGTGCCCAACTGAATGTTAAAGTAGCATCTCGAAGAGAGGCAGAGAAAGAGCAACCGTGACCTTCATCCCCGCACCTTCCTCCTTCCTCTCCCTTCCCGGCCGCCTCCCTCCTCCCCAGGGGAGCGTCGAGAAAGCGCTTTTTTGGATGCAGGAGGGGGCATCTGGTTGTGCCAGGCTGGAAAGCTGAGGCAGGATCCGAGGAAGAATCAGTAGACTCCGGAGAGCCTGGACTCCGCTTCTCCTTACCCCCTTCTCCGCTTCTGGCTGGTTCCAGCCCCTGCCTCCCTCCCCGCGCGGCTGCCCGAGACCCGCCGGCGTGCGGGGCGGGGTACCAGGACCGAGCCGCCGCCGGAGTTCTGGGAAGTTGTGGCTGTCGAGGATGGGGGTCTGTGGGTCCCTGTTCCTGCCCTGGAAGTGCCTCGTGGTCGTGTCTCTCAGGCTGCTGTTCCTTGTACCCACAGGAGTGCCCGTGCGTAGCGGAGATGCCACCTTCCCCAAGGCGATGGACAACGTGACGGTCCGGCAGGGGGAGAGCGCCACCCTGAGGTAGGGAGCTGTACTTCGCCGGGGGACTGAGCCCCTCGGATGGGTTTCGGTGGGAGCTGGTGAGCGAGAGGACCGGAGACCTGCGTGGGGGGCGAGCGTGGGAGAGGGCTTTTGAAGGCCCAAGAGGTGCCCACTTGGCATTCTGTGGCAGCTGGGACCCGATCTCCTGGACCGCTTGGTCATTCGCTGTGGCTTCTCTGGCCCCGGGTTTTCGGAGCGAGTCCTGAGGTCCAGGCTTGGGACTGCATGTATCCATGAGGCAGTGGTTAGACTTGGCACAGCGATGCGAGCCCTGGCATTGAAATCCTGCGGGCTGAGCCTGGGACCACTGGTGCCCTGGGGGCTGTCTCACAGTCGGGAAGGTATGTGATGAGGCACGGTGGTCCAGAGATGGCTGGTTAGCCTCTATCAGCGGGATACCTGAAATTTCCGGCTCTGGAATTGCCCAGCAGCTGGGCCCGGGCCCTTTATGAGTCTGCAGCCATCCGTGCCAACCCCGTGTGCTGCTCCTGGGGCCCCGACTGTAAATTAGGAGGGCAGTTTTATCTTTGCAGGCTCGGCCCAGGGAGAGGAAACATGTCTCTTTTATGCAACGACAACACTCCTGTGTGAAAAGCACAATAGGAAAGCTTTTTGTTTTACCTTAATGAGTTACAGAGAAGCACTTACGGCTCCAGGCAGAGGGGTGGAGATTCTTGGAATATGAACCTTTAGGGACCCGGCCTGCTGCAGCAGAGACTTTAATAAAAATGCAGCCACCACTTTCCACCAGCTCAGCAGATATCATCTTTTATCCCTTTAATGAGGCAGTTCTGGTCCTCGGAGACAGATTCAGGGACGTCCCAGCTTAACTCTGCTCACAGTGTGCACGGGGTGAATGCATTTGCCCTGCCTGTGACTTTGATGGTTAAGGTGGAAATAAAACATCGTGCCCCAGATTCTGCAGCCAGAAGCCTGGCAGCTCCAAGGAACGCGTGAGGCTGGGGCTCGGCCCTCGACTTCCTTGATTGCACCCTCTCAGCCCAGACGAGCCTCTCCCTGGGGAAGGAAAGGAAGGCCTCATGTGACCACTGCTCTTCCTTCCTAAGCCCAGGCGTGAAGGTTGATGCTTGCCGTCTGGGTGGTCTCACTGTGTTTTCCTTTGAGCCCAAGGACAGGTCCTAGAACCCTGTCTGCCAGTGCGTGGGGGCCCCAGAAGGAGGGAGAAAAAACAGGATGGAGACAGACCTCCTTTCTAGACCTCCAGCAGGAGGGAACCCCTCTGGCCTGCCCCGGAGTAGAGGGAGTGTAATGTGCATACTTCCTTGCATCAGAGAAATCCCGGGGTGAGGGGCTGGTCCACGCCCTGTAAGGCACATGCGCAGAGGGTCAGTCTGCTCAGAGAGAGGAGTAACAGCCAGGCTACGGTGCGTGTTACTCCAGGCGACGTGGGGAAATGGTGGTGGGTGTTAAGGGGTGCCAATGCTGTGTGCCTCTCTCTCCATCCTCCAAACTCATACCCTCTTACCAGGGACAGGGAGGCGTAGCACAGGATAAGGTCTCAGTGCTGAACTTTCCAAAATCCTCTGGCCTCTTGTTGCCCCTGAAAGTTAAAGCTTTCTGGGCTGCAGTAACATTGAGATCCACCAGCAGAGGGCCAGCTTTGATCTGCCTTTTTATTAGCTGCTGGCCTGTTTTCATGATCTTCAATTCTAATGTTTAGCAGCTGGGCTTCGTAATGGGAATGGGAATAAAAAAGGGAAAAGCTGAATGGTTGCTTTTTGTGCTTTGTGGAGAAAAAAAGAAAAACCTTACATATTTGAATATAACTGTTATCTGTTACCTGACAGCATGCTTTATTTATTATTTTTTTAAAGTAAGCCCATCTTACGTTGATTTTGCCTCTTGACTTCTGTATATGTTGCCCTGAAATAGAGAAATTCAGTGCATTGTCCCCATTTTAATCTTTCTGTATTCTCTTTCTTTTACCACTAATGTTTTCCTCTTTTATTACATTTTCTTTCATTTCTGTCAAATGTCTCCATTGTAGATGCTTTTGCGTGTTATCCATTCTCGTCTTTCATCACTGAATTCTTACTATTCCCTTACTTTTTAAGGTTCTGATTTCACTACCATCGCAGTGTTTCCTAAAATAACATCAGTAACTCTCACAGATTTCTGGGGGTCTCAACCTCTCCCCTTCTGTTCTCCGTGCTCCTTTGGTTTCTTGGCTTGGCAGCTGTGTGCTGGTCTCAATGAAAACCTTGTTTGTCAGGACTCCGAGGGGGCGGGCATCCTGTTTCCCGTCTCTGGAAGTCCATGGCCTCAACCCCAGATAGATGTATCATCTTGTTGGTTTTTTTACTCCTAAAAAATTGTAATTCTTAACCACGGTCACTCTCTAATCTCCTAAAAGGTGTACCGTTGGGAATTCTGTATTTGGGAATTTAGTGTTCTGAATGCATCAGATGTTCAGAAGGCATTGAAAACACTGAATGATTCCTAGGTCCACTAGTCATAGCCACAGAAAGTCTGTTCATATGTGGCTGCCTCGGATCAAAGTAATCCAAGCCTGTTTCTCAATCTTGAATGAAGTCACATAGGAGGTCGAAGACCGACCAGGAGAAGCCAAGGGAAGGAGAAAGCTAGGTCCTCCTTTGAAATTTCCAGTGAGACGCTGCTCGGCTTAGAGACGGGTGATCTCCTTCCTGGGAGGCATGTTTTGTGATGCCAGGTCTTTGATTGAATGTGGAAGGAACTCATTTAATGTAGAAGAGGCAATATTATCTTCCTCATAACTACTTCACAGGGCTACTTGAAAAGTAAAAATAATTATGTGACTATGGAGTTATTTTGCCTTCTTGGAAGAGAGATGATATGGAAAATGAAGGTGGTATTCACAGTGTCTGAATTATAGCTGCAATGAATCTGATTTGAATTCATTATTACAAATGGGCCCTCTTGGCCAGAATCATTTCATTACAATTATCTGCTGTTGGGTTAAAAATGTTCTGTGCCTCTGCATTAGATGAGATATGATAAGTGTGTAGAAGTCCTGTGTCTGAATCACTGCCCACATCAGGAAGGGAGCCCTGGATGCTTGGTGTGGTCAGCTGGTGTCTATTAGGCTATTTCAGTGATGCAATGCTCCCCAGATGTGTTTTCTTCCTGGACCTCAATCTTCTCTAAATTTGCTTCGGTTTTGCAGTGGACCGCATCATCCGTGTCCGTGAATATTCTGAGGGGGTTTCGGTAGGCTGGAAGTGGGGGTTGTTGCTGTAACTGTTCTGCTAAGTGGGAAAAGTTCCCACCAGCAACCTGGGGAGGGTTTTTTTTTTAAGCATGGCAGGATAATCAGTTTTGCTGATCCAGGCTGGCTGATCTGGGATTATGCTTAGAAACTCTCGTCTAAAATACCCTCGCATTTTCATTTGGAGTTCTGAGCTAATCTCTTTGGAACCCAGTATTTGGAGGTTAACCACTGCCAAGGAGGAATCTGAGCAGCAGGATTTTGCCAAAGTCACCGAGGCAGTCAGGCTCCCCAGGGAGGCATCCTGTCTTCTCCTGGGTGTTTCTCTGCCTTTCGCCCTCTCCATCAGCAGCTTTTCTTTTTGTGTACGTTAGAACATTCAGAAGAGCCCCTCGGTTATTCCAAACAAGGCCACAGTACGTGAATTTCAACATTTCAGTTACCTAAACTGAATAAGGACTTCGATCGGGGCAGTGGCTTCGCTCTTGGCCTGGGAAGATAGATTCAGACATGGACCCAAGTCCAAGTCCATACAGGGCCACTCCAACTGCAGTGCTAACCTGGGCTGCCCTGGAGTTACTGGAGATGCATTTTAGATGTTCCATGGCCAGGATCCCAGACCAATGAAAGCAAAATGTCTGGAGTTGGGTGTGGGCATATTAAAGATCTCTTCTAGTATTTCTTATGTTGAAAACTGCTACCCCAGAGCCCTTTCCTGTCCCAGAGCATCTGAGCAAGGCTGGTCTCCAGTGCCCCTGCCCACACTCATGTAACCCTACCTGCGTGCATGGACCTTACCACTCACGGCTGCCATATTGCCTGAGAAGGAACACCAGGCCTGGGGGCCTGCATACCCATTTGGGCTTGATTTTTGCTCCTCCCCTCACCTGCCAAATGATTTTGAGCACTTGAATTCATTTATGTACCCTTGGGGATGGTATCTGCCCCATCTATGGCATCGGGGAGATGAAAGAGATGGTGTTATGATGCTGATTAGAAAGCAACACACAAGTGCAGGTTGTTATAGGAGCCAAACAAAAGCTCAGTGATGACCTGTGATTCTCTGTCTGTGATTCTGGCTTCATTTCTCTCCCCCCGCCCAGCCGCATACGGAGCTCTAGAATTCTCCTCTCTCCTTCCCCCACACAGAGCCCTAGAATTCTCAGTCCTTTCCCAGTGCCAGCCAGCTCCCTGCTTTCTGCTCACGGTCAGGACTCACCCTCATCTGAGCCCCCATAACGCCTGCTGCACATCTTTGTTCTGATGGATACACACCCTGGACTCGTCAGTTACATGTGGGTGTGGTTGGACTGTGAGTTCCTAGAGGCACGAGGCCATGACCTAGGTGTTGGCTACAGACACCGTCATGGATACTGAGGATCCAAAATGATACGTCTGGGCTGAACGCTTTACTCCGCTGTAACGGGGCTCAGTCTCATGATGGAGTGTTGCCTCTGCAGCGATAAAGTGCTCACAGCGAAAGGGTTCTGTTCTCTTCACAATTTGGCACCAGGCAGGTGGTTGGTTAGAGCCTTTGGGGGCCTGGGGGACTTGCATTCTGGTGAGATCACTTGCCGGGGGGGCATGAAGTCCACCTGTGGCCCCCGAGGCTGCGCCATCCCTGGCACAAGGCGAGGAGCAGGGGAGCAGAGCAGAGGGGGTCTTCTCAGCTGCAGTAGGGTGATAGACTTGGGAGCAGGGCTATTCCCGCGGAGACCTGCCTTCTGTGGACCAGAGGAGACACGCAGAGCCGGGAGGGAGAGGGGCGGAT